AGCCTAGCAAAAGAAAACGAGCTCCTCTGTCTGAGGAGGCAAAGAAGAGCAAAAAGGAGAGTGATAAAAGAAGAGGAAAAACAAGAGGAAACCTCAGCCAGGCGTTCAAGAGATGGAGGGAGCTCCGTGACCAAAGAGGCTTCAAAACCGATGTCCAGCTAGCTTTCTTTCTAATGGATCAGTAAGTAACACGGCTAAATGTTAGCTAGACCAGAGAGGACTGTACTGTACTGGCTGCTAGTTAATTCCAAGCTGGCCAGCATCGCAAATCGCCGCAATTAGGGACCGGGTAGCGAGTGTTGGTCGGCTGACATCCTCGGACAGTGATACACCCCAGATAAATCTAATAATTGTTGCTCAGTCTCTTTCCTCATTTATTTAGTATAGTGTCCACACACCTTCTCATTCTACATATACATAGAGGTATACCAGTGGCTTTACAGCCTACATTTTATTTAATTTAGAGAGTCTAATAGAGTCATATTATTGATTATCTCTGATCCCCACGGTCAATTTGGTCATTGCGACAGTGCGATGCAACGTTGACGTCATCCTTAGGCTGATCCATTAATTGGGCAACAGGTGTAGAGGGTAAGGGTTTTTGTTTTCTGTTTAATTTGACAGTTAAGTCCATAGACTCTATTACAAACAGAAGCTGAGTCAAATTGAACTGTCACTTATTACCGCTCAGGAAAGGGCATCTTGACACCATGGAAGATTAGATAACTGGTTTGTTGTGACTCTTGCTGGAAAGGCAGCAGCTCTTATCCACAAAAATGTCACCAGAATACTTAAATTAAGGCTCTACAAGACTGACAAAACAGGCCTTATTCCATCCATACTGCTGCAGTTAAGTGAAAAGCCAGTGGAGTAAAACTATACAGGCACTACAGCTGTTCCATGTCCCTCGGTGGTCATTTGAAGGCAGTACTGGAAATCTGCACTAAAGTAAAAGTCCAATTACTTCCGTAAAAAAAATGACTCGAGTAAAAGTGAAAATTACCCTTTGTAAAACCTAAAGAGACAGAGGTGAGGTTTTGTACAGAGTTACTGCTCTGGGCAGAAAAGATTTCCTGTATCGGTCCTTGTGACAGCAAAGATGCACCGGTCTGTTAGAGAAAGAGCTCTACTGTCTGTCCAGTTGGTGGTGAGGAGGCTGGTCAGGATTATCCATAATGCATAACAGTTTGCTCAGTGTCCTCCTCTCCACCACAGCTTCATGTGTGTCCGGTTTTCAGCCAATAACAGAACCAGCCTTCGTAATCAGTTTACACGCCAAAGCTACCATGAAAGGCGCCACTTCCTACTCAGTTTAAACACTCATGGCACAGATATCAAGCAACTTGGGATTCAGTATCTGGCCCAAGGATACTTCGAGATCAAACCACTGATCTTCCAAAAAGTGGATGACCCATTCTACCTCCTTTTGCCATCCCCAGAGCCACACCACTACTGGGGCAAAATAAAAGGAATCACCTTTAGTTTATGACCAAATACTTATGGCATTCCTATCAGAGTCAGCTGTATTTGTGTTCAGTGCTAACAAATGCCAGCAACACTAACACACTAAACTTAGATGGTGAACCCACCTAGCAACCTACCTAGCATCAGCATGTTAGAATTATCATTCCGAACACATTTCTATGCTGACCTTAGCATTTAGCTCTAAAGCACCGCTGCACCAACAGTCTCAGAACTGCTAACATGACTGTATAGAATTGATTTGTGAGTACAAACACATAAAACAAATTAATTTAATGCTGCAGTTATTTTAATAACCACTGCTACAACTACTACACACACCAAATACAAAGAAAATACACAAGAAAGGCTGAACTATCTGAAAGACTTATAAACGAAAGGTAGAGGAAAGGGATTACCAAAACATCTGGCAGACAGGTAAGAGAACCTGAGAGGCAGTGTGTCCAATCACAAACACAACAGCTTAAGGATTGATTGTCGATTAAAGTTGGCAGTTACCGAGAACACCGGGGCTAATTCAAGGTGATGGAGGGGGATTTGTTAGAATACTTGCATGCCCCCCGGTGAACCTTCCTGTTGGAATTTGGAGTCAGATGAGCCTGTGAGTCTGAATGAAGGAGACCTCTCCATCAGACAAACAGACTCTCACTCTTGCTCTCTGCTAAAGGGGCTTTGGCAGGGGTTTTGGTGCATCCAGGCCAGCTGTGTGCAAAGATTTGGAAATCTGAGGGTATGATAAGCCAAAAAACACGACATAACTTAACACAAAGATGTTTGCATTTATGCATTTGCAACTGAAAGGTTATTCGTCAGAAAGAAATTGTTTTAGTCCACATCAGTCAACGCTTTTTGTTGTCGCTCTGTGCTGCTGCACAGATGGCAGATGGTCAGGGCCACGACCGATCAATCAGTGTGTGTGCATGCTGTGTTTTCTAATGCGCACAGGATATGTGTTTGGAAATACAGCAATGCTTTGGTTAAGCTCTGACTGGGGTTTGATTTCAGATCAATTCAGCTACGAAAGGACTTCTACCTACATGCCCTCTCACTTGTTATCACTTTCCTGTCTTCTCTCCCTCCTTTTTAACACCTACCTGTCATGTCACTGCTTCCCTATAATCTCAAGGGAAAATGAGATGAAACCTCATTTCTCGCAAGGATTTTTAAACAGTTATGCCTTTACACCTCCATGCTGCGTGGCTGCCTGTTCTGTCTCGTTTCTGATATCTGTGATTACTCCTGCTCGTCTTTCTCTCATACAGACCCTGTATTTATCTACCTTTCTTCTTTTGTCCATCAGCCCACATTGTCACCAGCACCATGGTCTCCCCAAGGCTTTACTCCTTTTCTTGTTTCCACCCTTTGATTCATACTGTCTTTCCCCCTTATTAATTCTGTCTCTCTTTCTCATCTCTCTACCTCTCTTTCCTTCCTCTTCAGAAAATCCCTTCAATCTGGCAGTTCACCCCCAAATCAAAAATACACTTAACTTCTCTTTCCTTCAGTACATTTTCACATAAATACACCCTTAATCCTTATCGTCACACATGGATGCACATGTTAGCTCAGAGGCTGATGAGTCCACTCTTGAGATACATTAACGTTGTACCGTATGACCCTAACATTCTACGAAATTAAGACACAGTTCCACTGAAATGCTTTTAAAAAGAAAGACAGACCGGCCATAGCAATAAATGAGCGTACAGCTGCACTCAGCGGCAAGGTTCTGCTCCTGAAACTACAGTAATCAGGGCATCCTCTAAGGGATTGTGCAAGAGTGTAATGAAAAGGTAACCTAACCAGAGCCCAGCAGCTACATTGTCAGATGGATGTGTCAATGCAATGGTATGTGTGACATATGAAGTAAATATGATTAAGAACCCTGATCTGTGTTGCTACATAATAAGAAATGAGAACAGGAGGTGTCTGCATTGTAGCAGCAGAGAGAGTGTTGTGTCATGTGTGAGATCTATGCTGCACATGAATACTCTGAGAACCATGAAATTGAAAGCGACGTAAGAGATTGCAAGAGCAGCGACATGATCTCAGGTGACATGAGCTTTTCCAGTCAAAACCCAATGATTTCACATGACATACAGTGATGTGAGATGATGTGTGGTGGCAGCAAAGTGGCCCTGCGTGGCAAGTGACAGCTGAGGAACACCAGCATTCATTTGCTGAACACCTTGTAGCTCTGAACCTCATGCGGCCTAAAGCAGTCCCGTCAAACTATATTCATTATTCTTCTTATTTCCATTTAAATGAGCTGTTTATATGAAAACAAGCTGTTGCAGATCTACTGAACATATTGCAATTTTTGTTTCGTTTAACATGCAAACTGCTTGAAATCAGTGAAATTGTTTTTCAGAAAACCGATTGTATTGAGTGGGGGAATTAGTCCTTGGAAGTAATCTTTGGCACATCGCTTTTACTTGTTTGTCTTTCTTCTATTATGGTTTGATCTGAAGTGCAAACATTTGTGTCCATCAGAGAGGATAGGTAATCGGCAAAGTGCTGACCCCCAGTGGTAAGACCACCAAATAACACTCAGAAACAGCACAGAAATGTTGAAGTGCACCCTGGTTTTTCTTTTGAAGGAAAATCTGCATTTTTTTTAAGGACTCTGGATTGACTCAGCCGCTTCAGAGAGGCAACCTTGCCCACATCATTGTTTATGATTTAGATTGACTATTTACCTCTGCAGATGGTCAGGTTTCCCACAAGGCCCTGCAAAAAATGGTTTGTTCAGCTGAACATAGGTGTTGCTCTACCCTGCCTGAAGGATGCTTACACCAGGTGCTGCAAAAATAAGACCAGAAAAATCATTAGGGCTCCAAACCACCTAGATAACCACCTTTTCTCCCTGTTGAGGTTGGGAAGATGCTACCAAACACACCAGGCCAGCCCTGAGAAGCTCAGAAAAAGCTTCTACCCTTTAGGCCACAAGGATCATATCAGCCTCCTGATCACACATATATTTATCATTACAGTCTTTTTAATGCACATATTATAGGAATTGGTGGGATTACACTTTACTGGAATCGTCCCTTATATGATTTCATGTGACAAATAAAATGTACAGAATGATTCACCCACTGGAGGGTAGAAATTACATCCATCTTGCACCTCTCTTGCCCCTCGTCTAATGTTGAGCACCACTCCATACCAATTTCACTCTGAAAAGAACATGAATGTAAATGACTAGCAGTGATGCAGTACCCGTTCGGCGTGCCAGCCTGCCTCAAGATCCCAGAGGGGCTGAAATCAATGAGGCAAAATGGAGCTTTCAGCATTCTCAGTGTTGAAATCAATGGACCTTGACGGCTCTGAAGATTAATGAAGGGAGCTTCTGCTGAACAAGCAAGACGACTCTCAAAACACGTGTAGCCATATTCACCATGGCTGTTGTACATGGCTCTGATCACGGATCGTTCAGCAGTGAGTTAGTGTGCCGCACTGCATTTTAACATAGGGGATACCCACCTACTGTCCGACAGAAAAAGGAGCAGTCAAACATGGAAAGTCACAATACTTGTATTTCTTTATTGAAATATAATCGACCCCTGAGGCTAGATAAAAAGGCCACAGTTTGTTTGTGCCTCGTCTAGCTCCTCAGTCTGACACAGCCAGTTAGAACACAACAGACCTGTCCAAAAACACACATTACACAACTGGTGTGACAACTCCAAATGTTTGTTTTTGTTTTTTTTGTTGTTGTTTTTTTTGTTATCCAAACCTAAAGTTTACACGGCCCTTTACATACTGACAGTTTCAGGACATACGTCACTCAAATCAATTGCATAACTTCAACAATTACTTGGTGTCTATTTGAAAAATAATGTTACCTCTCCAATTAATTAAATAAAAGTGCTTCATTTAGCTCACATATGATCCAGGGTCAGATAACAGATTCATTATTTTCACTTTCAGCATTTGTATTTGGTCTGCCTGAAATGTGAAGACGGTGCAATAGATCAGCAGGTTTCTTTGTACCAGCCGTAATGATTCATTCAAGAAAGGTAACTTTCGAATTTCAAACTGAATTTTGGACCTCAAACCAGAAAGTAAAGTAGTCAACTTGAAGACACCCGCCAGGTACATGAGCTCAGCCTGCTTGAGAAAAAAGTTTGACATTTTTTGAAATACCCCTATTGAATTTCTTGCCAAGAGTCATGTGAGAAGATTGATACCATGCTTGTATCTGTACACTAAGTATGAAGCTCGTCAGCACTGCAGTTGGCTTAACTAGGCATAAAGACAGGAAACAGGGAAACAGCTAGCCTGGCCCTGTCCAAAGGTAAGAAATAATCCGGCACGTAAGACCCAGGCAGCAGATTCCGGGGGTAAAAAATGAAGCCAATACAGAGGAGCCAAAAACTGCAGTTCTTTGAATGGCCACTTGAGGGTGGCTCCAGAAGCCAGTCAATCCCCATAGAATCCGATGTTAAGATGCCCAACTTTACAGCAGAAACTTTGAGTGACAGGCTGCCTGCTGATAGTGTCCTTAGCTTCTTCTCAGATCTAGCCCTCGCCTCTCCACAGCTCCAGACTCTCGCCCAGATATGGTCACTTCTGGCCCCAAACAACCAAGATGGCGATGGCTGAAATGCTGAACACAAGGCTTCAAATCAGGAGTCCACAAACCAATGGGTGGCATTATAGTAGCTGCACCCATTATTTTGACAACCTATGATAAAACCACAATCTGTATAGATTAAACAAACTTAACTATAACATACTCAATGAGCTTTAGAGGTGCCGGTTGGCTGATTTTGGTGCCTTCAGAATGAGCCAGGCTTGCTGTTTCCCTGTTTCCAGTCTTTACACTGAGCCAAAATAAAACTGCAGCCTGTAGCTTAATATTTAATGTACCCAATGTAATGCTTGGCAAAAATGTCAATAGGTCTGTTTTACAAAATGTCAAACATTTCCTTAAAGAAATTTCACATTAAGCAAACATATTTAAACTCAAAAATTTGACAACAAACTTTTCTTGTTTTGACCCTTGTGTGATTCCATTTCCACCTGTGAGGCCATCCACATGAGCTCCAGTAAAGAAGAGAACCTTATGCTGTTTCAGCTCAGGACCAAGCTTGGTTTCTTCATCTTGGTCCACAACACATTACAAGTCTTTTCATATGGGGGGTCAGAGGCAAAAAGGCCTTTGACCCGTTGAGAATCCCAAAGAAAAGAAAAGGGGAAAAAAAGGGGGGAGGAGTTTTGCTTTTTGTCCAGGTCTGGGACACGCTGAGGTAACATAGACAGTAATAAATTATTCAGTTGTTTAAAAAACACTTTGCAAGAATCATATCAATAATTCATTTCAATAATACAAAATGGTATCAAACATACATGATGCAACATTTTCATCAAACACATTCAATTTTTTTTCTTTTTTTCGTCCTCCCCAACAATCCAGAGTCTGTTGCTTCATTGCTCCGTGATCAGTACTTCAATGTTTTCTGTCCTCTTTGTGAAGTCCCTTTAACAGTAGATGAAGGTTAATACCGTTTTCCTTCTTTTGCTGAGGTTGATATTCCACTTTCATGCTGAGGTGAATTTGTATGCCATTCGATAACTCTTTTTTTTCATACTCAACCTTCTTAATTCAAAACTTCGTTGCACAAAACTTTTCCTTTCCAATGATTAAATTCCAATCTCTGTCACAACCATCACCAAGGCAACAGGCACACACAGGCACACAGGGCTACAACACTAATTGCCTATTTGCTCTTTTTGTTATTCGATTTTTACATTCAAATCTTTTTTAACTGTGCCTTTCGCTTCACTTACAGGTTTGAACAGAAAACAACATGCCAATAGGAAAGTCAGAAATTGTATTAAAAGTGCAAAAATGTATTCCTTCAAGAGACGGTATTCATCTAGACAAAAAAAAGTTGTCCACCGAAACTTTAGTGCGTTAACAGTACAAGCCATTTCATAGGTTATTAAACTGTACATTCCTATCCACCTCACGACAGACATGAATATACTGAATGTCTTGTTGCTCCGAATGTGTGGTTTTCCTACAACTAAACGTCGCCTGTAGCTAGGTTAACATGGCTTTAAGCCCCAGGAGCATCACACTGCCCGGTTCAGACAGGCTGTCTAACTCTGATGTAGTCCCAGGGCTACAATGTATCCCCAAACTGAAGGAGTGTTCTCCTTTACTGAGCATGATTCATTGTCCTGAATTCAGCGGTGCGGTCTGAAAAGCCCCTAGATTGAAATAAAGTGACATCACATTATTTTGGTTAGTGGCCAGTGCAAATCAGCTTCTCCAGCCTGCTTCAGATCTGAAACACGTAGCGCTCATTATCCCTTATCTATTCTATTTCATGAAGAACTTCCTACAGATCTTTTGTAAAACAGCATTGTATTTGTTTACATTGCCACCTATAGTAAGATATTTTGTTAATCACAAATATAATTGTAATTTTCTATAGTTTTTTTGATACAAAAACATGGAAAGTAACTTGTTTTGAAGATAATCTGTTAAGACTACAAAGACAAAAACAAATATACGAGGGCTATTGTCCATACAGTACTGATGAAGCCTGCTCTCATCATGCCATTGACAATGACTGCAGAGGCGACCTAAACAAACCATAATTATTTTAACACTTGATGTAAAGTGGCTCTGATATACTGTGTGTCTTTACGATGGGAAAATAATCATTTTCTAAGAATGTTTGTAAACATGGCCGCTGACACATCAGTGTTGGTATAAACCCTGTTACGTTTACATTAAAGTGTAACCACACACACCTACGACCACTCTTAACTCTCCTTTACAATTACAATATTTAAACACTTATTCAACAAGCTGATATGACCATCCCTCTCACCTGTCAACCGATACGACACATTTTCTCAGCATCACGTTCCTCTCGCTTGCTACAACACGTCCTTCCATCCTCTCTGAACTGACATTTCAAAGCCTAGAGTCCACGCTTCATTCACAGAACTCGCAGTCCACTCGTCAACACCGAAACACAACTTCTATTTTCACTACCAACATCACTGTCACCGCTCTTGTATTCATCCATCATGCCCTTATGATGTCCACTCTACAATGAGAGAACGCAGATACACGTATCTAAAGGTCACACAGGTGCTTTTCTTCCAGAAAGTTGTAGGAGTGTGAGGATAGAAAGGTGATGACCAGCAGGTGTTTAGGAGTTACTCCATGAAAAACGAGGCGCCATTTTGAGCCGGGTCCTCTCTTTTCCTCCCTTTCCCAAGAAGAAAAAAGTTCCACATCAAGGTGATTCTGATCTCTGGCTTCCCCCCCCCCCCCAAAATCGTTGAGTGCTACGTTTGAAATTAAATTCAAAAATTACACTTGATTGAGAAACAGTTCACTGGAGTTCTGTGTTGAATAGAGATTGGAGGGATCTATAGACCTCTGAAAGGGACCATAAATTGAGGAGAGAGGGCACAGCACTCATTCCAACACATTGTTAAGGGTGAGGGGACATCAGTCCAACAATTCCTGGATTCATCCAGCCATTCATCGACCCCCCCTTCCCTTTTGTGCTCCAGTAGTTAACCACTGCTGGGGAGTTCCCTGACATCCAAAGGTATGTGGGTGCGCGTGTAGGTGTGTGTATGTTTCGAATGATAAAACAGGACGAGGGAGGTCACAATATAGCGCAGTGGAACCTGTGGGAACCTGCTGAACGTTCTGCCCTCCATTTCATCTTCTTTTTCTTCTTCTGGTTTCGCTCTGGCACCTGTTGTCTGTGGGTGGGGAGAGAAGAAAAAAATATAAGAAACAGTTTTACAAAACAATCTAAACTCAATCAACTCAAGCCTTTTCTGAAACCTTACAATGCAGTGGTCCTATCTACATGTTATGTTATGTTATGTTATGTTATGTCTACATCTATAAGATGAAGCCCTGTCTACATGTATACAAAAAAATTAAAAAAAAAATTTTAAAAGGTGTATTATTAACTCTATGTTTTAAGCTCCTGCCTACAACTAAACTGAATTTTAAGTCACTAAAACAGATTTTTTTTTTTTTTTTAAAAAGGCCTTTTAAGTTTTGGTTACTGTGTACCCCTGTGAACATGGAAAACAATGCCTTTTAGAAACGATGCCGTCATCTCCTTATTTCGTGCATACCTATTGTTGCTTTGTCTAATGAACATGCTCCAAAAACAATAGCAACTACTGTGGACTACCAGTTTGTTTGCATTTTGTTAGCACTGCTTGGTCTAATAACTACTTTACTCTGAAACGTAGTATTGCTGCACTACTTTACGGACAAACAGAGCTGTCTGCTACACCCAGTATTATTTGTACCACCACAATGTCTGTTGTTTAAAGTCCGTCATAAAAGACGGTTCTGGATCAGGCCAGGATTCGTCCAACCAACATACAGTGAGATGCTTCTATGAGTGGGATTGTTGTCACTGAAGAGTGGAAAGAAAAGTTTTGCGTTCCAGGGCATCACTCGTATCATTGAGTAAGCTCCTCTGTCCTTATATCAAGGGGGAATCAGTGGTGATGAGATCTCCGGTTGTCATTTATAAAAGGTAACGTTAGCCTATGCACTATGTGTAGACAAGGCCCCAGAAGAGTTCATTCAACTCTGCAGTTATTTTCTAAAAAGAGTGATTTAGCATTCTCAGAAATGCACTTATTTGCTTTCAATAAGATTAACACCACTCTAATGTCTGTAAACATGAAGCTACAGCCTGCAGCTGCTTAGCTTAGCACAAAGTCTAACAGCTAGCCTGTCCAATATACAATACACCTATTTGACCTTTTTAAGCTATCTAACATGTTAAGGTATCTACAGGCATCAGACACTTATATTTAGTGCTTTTTAAGACTTTTTCAAGATTATTTTTAACCAAATTCAAGACTGATTTGTGGACAAAACCTTTTTTTCTTACTCAAGCATTGCAGGTAACTAGTATATGTGTAATCCCATGCAGAAATAAGTTTTAGTTTGGAACGCGGTTATTACAGTGAGTCATATTTTTCCAACACGAAGGGGCAAGTAAAGAGTAAAAAAACAGTATTAGTTCTAATGGTAGGTTGAAAGATTTGTAACATTAGAAATATGGACTTTCACACAGCAGAGCTTGACTCATTTTGACAAAAAGAAAAGAGGATTAAATGAAATGAAGTAAAATAATTGTGGCCTCGCAAATTCAAATTTAAGACATCCGATGACTTCTAAAGACTTGTATTTTTAAAAGGTATATATACATATATATATATGTAGACACATATATATATTTTTTTCTTATCTTATTATTTTTTTTTTTTTTTAAAGGACCTGAAGACACCCTGAGGTAATTTGTTTAATCTGTATAAAAACTAAAGTGTAAAAACAATTACAGTGGGTTATGTGCTGGATTATTTCTTGACCAGGCGCAGTGACTTCCTGAAGTCTTAATTTATATTATATATTATATTTGTTATTTATATTTACCACCCAAACATGACAGTAGTAATGATTTTCTCATCCAACTTTTTTTGCATTTCACCTTGATTTTGTGAGCACTTCTCTACATTCAGTATCATGTGTCACCTCTTTGAGATTTTACATTAAACATTTTATAGGTGAGTTTTCAAGATAGGCTACGGCAACTTATACAAGTACAAAGATGATGGACATTTTCTACTTGAACTGTTGACGCATCAGTCAGAAAAAAAGAAGCCCAACCATTATGTCTTTATCCACCCCCTGTACAACTGGCGTTCTACAGTCTGACCACAAGAGGGCAATGTTGATTCATCAATCAACGCTCCTCTTTTTATCATCTTGTACCAAAGCACTCAAGTGTCTTACATGTGGACAATGAGATCTCTCTTTAATCTGTAATCCAAATACAAAGATGAATACTGCTGTGTATTTGGGTGTGTAAGTAAAACATGGTGACACGCCTACTTGTTTCTTATGCAGAAAGAGAGGGCCTTAAAACGGGGCATGACCACATTCAAAACATGGACACAAACCAAATTCTTCTGAAATTACACTTGTGTCAAGACAGGAAATACCTCTGGGATTTTTTCTTTGCTTTCCACTCTTCCTAAAACCACTTTCCCTGCCCTCACATACCAGCATAACACTGTGTGCCACTAACCTCTTAAAAAGTAAAATACCAAATGGAAATAGGGAAAAGGGTGACATGCTATGAGTTGAGATAATTTTATTAGATGGAATGACTGTATTTCAGTTTGTCTTCAGGCCAATCACTACTGTCCTAGAGCAGTTTAATTGCTGTCACTGCAAGGAAATCTGTCTTACATTATTTTTTATGCAAAGATGTCAAGGTTGTCATCTTATGGAAGTAAGAGAATGAACAGAAGTGAACCTGGAGTTACCTTATAACACGAACCAGCTCGTGGAAGGCTTTGTCCACATTCATTGGAGGATCCTTGGCACTGGTTTCAATATATGTTATCTGAAGAAACAAGCAGAAATATTACAAACCTAAGCAAAAGTTGTAATAGTTGTTCATTGAAATATGAAATAACCAAATAGGTTGAATAAAAACATAAATATACTGTATAAACATAGGAATATACCGTATAAGGGGAATAAAACAATCCAATGTTATGTGGTTAAGAATCAACAGGGGTTACAATTAAGCTGCCTATTGACTCTGAGCCTGTTGAGCTGGTGCCAAGTGACACAATGCAAAATCTGTATCAATTAAACCCACAGTTGCTGACTATCATTAATTCAATCTCAGCACAGACAAAAATAGAGACAGATGTTTCCTCACACATGCCTACTGCCCATGCAAATGACAGTGATGAATCAGCTGTGACTGATATTAGTCAGACACAGTGGCTGCACTTATTCGCCAGGCTGCATATCGTCTCTTAAAACGCTGAAAATTAAAACAGTGGATCCTTGAATCCAAAATACAAAAAAAAGCAAGACAAATTAGTCCCAAAACGTCACATCCTTGGGGCTGTCACTTTCCCCAAGTCCCTCTGGGCCAAACTCATTCAGCACCACAGGGAGAAACTCAAAGATCTCTTCGATCAGGAACATTGGTGCATTCAATGTGGAATTGAACCTTTTTGCAGATTACAGAGAGCACAGCTTTCTGGCTTTATCTGACAGTCATGTTTGCCTGTTTCTGCCTGTTTTAATGGTTATGCTGTGTTCACTAACAGCATGTCCACATTAAGACAGCTGTAAATGCATCTTTTTCTCTCTGTTCCAGCCCTTCAATCAGACTCAAACACAGTTCAGTCAGGACCACTTCAGTCAAAGAAAACTTAATTTCCATTTGCAGTATTATATTTGGCAGTATGGCTCTGTTCTGAGGCCTCTCTGTCTGTCCTCGGGCCTACGCAGAAAGCCTCTTCTACGGGCCTGCATGGAAAGCTACAGTATAAGGCAGAGAGCGCACACCAGTCTGTCCTTCCATGCGCCTACATGGAAAGCCTAAGGCAGGAAGAGCAGCAACAAAGATCCCCTAGAAACAGAACAGAGCCAGCATCAATGACAAACAAAAATGACATAATAAGTCAGAGTCCCCAGCAGTCAGCATAAAATGGAGGGGCTGGGGTGGAGGCGGGTTGCTAAGCCACTTGCTGAGGAAGCAGCAACAGTAGGCAGGCCAGAGCAGTTTAAATAGGGCGCCCTGAATGAGATTTGCCAATTGGTTGCATAGAAAGGAATCGTGATCTATCAGCTCACTCCCTTTCATCAGTCAGTTGCTCCATCAGTCGGGCTGTTTGAGATTAGCTGATGTAGCTGGGATGTGAGCTGAGCTTGACATCGTGTCCTGCCTGAACTAACACTATGCTCAATTTTTTCTACCAGTTTTTCCCCAAATGGCCCCCAGAGGGTGTTAATCTTAAAACAGTGAGGAATACAAAAAAGCTTGGTGTTTTGGTGTGTATGGGATTTACAAAGCTTTGGCAAAGGATGTGTCCAACTCCACCTTTGCTAGTTAAAGGGATACTTTGCTGATTTTCAACCAGCTTTGTATCAAAACAATACAGGTAGTGTGCGTAAATGAACTTTGGTATACCTCCCTCCATCTTTGGCTACAGGGGTGAGAATATTCTACAAATGAACATTCTGATGTTCATTTCAGTTTGAGTTTTATTCTGATGATTGCACTAAATTATTTCAGATACAAGGACACACCTCTGTGAGGAAATTATCTTTCCTCTCACTGTTGCTTCAGAAATGCTTTTATCATCCTTAGACTCTCGCCTAAATATATTAAATCAGTTTAGTGCAAAAAACCTACAATGAGTCTGACAACTTACGTTATGTTTTGCAGCCATCTCTTGGCCCTGGTCAGTGGTGACCTTTCTCAGATGGACCAAGTCCACTTTGTTTGCCACCAGCACCATGGGGAAGGCCTCCCTAAGAGGAAAAGGACACACACACACAATCTCAGGTATCCCTGTGTAATTAATTTTCAAACCACTTACAGTGGTCTTGACAAGTGTTTAAAAGTGTCTCACGATCTGAAGACTACTTTAAACACCTGATTTACCCAGTTTATAATCAGATCAGAAAGATCACATGCTTCACAAACTGTCTGCTAGGTGTCAGATTTCTGCAACACTTTTTTTTCCTTCTTGTAGAAAAATGAGCAACAGTAGAGCACCACTAAATATGGACACAGAGCAACTTACTCAGTTCCAGTTTCTATTTTTGTTTCATCTCCAGCTCAGTTTTATTGGCTACTGTCAGTCACTGTCAGGCAACAGATGCATCTCCTCTCTAACAACAGACATCCACAACAAAACTGATTAGAATTTTGGAAACAAATCTTAGGACCCTAACTGGTCTGCAGCTTGAGGAAAGTAAAGCAAGGACAAGATTCTGATCCTAGATAACTGTAATCTTGACAACACTCCCTGTTAGCACAGACTGAACCATGTCTGCTGAGTCAGCAAAATTCTGAAAATGACCTGACTGAAAGCAGATAAAATTTGGCCTTATGAGGATAAATATTTGTGAGAATACCAAACATATTCAATATTTTGAATGTTAGTGTATTATGTGGACAGTCAAATCAGACCACATCAGAAGATGACACTCAAAAAAATGGAATTCAAAAGGACAAACAACATTAGTGGTCAGAAGAAAACAAATCCCCAGTTTACCATATTGTAAATGTCTATTTCATCTGACAGCTACTTCCTCTTTTGGTAACTTTGGCTTCCGGGTACGTTAGCTTTGACCCACACACACATTTACAGTGCAGGGGTTGATTGTATTGGACATTTTGGGTGCATTCTCTTTTGTTTTTACCACAAAATAATCTGAATAACATAACTGAGAGAGCTAGAACCCGTCTGATGATTTACTTGCACAGACAGACTTACTCCAGTGAAAAAAAACCAAAACAAAACATGTTCCTTAAACAGATAGAGGATGCTAAGCAGATGTCATTGCATATTTGACAATGTAGTAATCAAATAAGCACTTTGTCTGTTTACTGTTTAAAGACATTAAAATGTCAGGCTGATTGTCATATTTCTCACATACAGAAAAATAACCAGCTGTGGGTTTATTGTGCGTGCCATCCCACACACAACCTTCTGTCATTTGATTCTCAGCAACAGTGTAAATGGGTGGCTCACATTAAATCATAATACTATTAAAGAGTCAATAAACAGTACACAGTAAGAATGCCCTTCATATGTCATTTTTCCTTTGTTGTCCTTGTGCATAGAAATAAGTTTTTTTTATTATGCATTGGTCAGCTAAGCGGTTGTAACCTACCTGTCTTTGACCCGTAGTATGAGTTGATGGAACCGGTCAACGTGTTCAAAGCTGGCCTTGTCTGTCACGGAGAAGACGATCAGGAAGCCATCTCCCGTCCTCATGTACTGCTCCCTCATCGCACTGAACTCCTCCTGGCCAGCTGTGTCCAGCACTGCCAAGATGGAGGGACACCAATGTATTACATTACATCGAAGGGTCTCTGTTTTACTGATGTTTTAATTCAAAATGCACACAGATGATTTCTTATTGTACTACCTACATGTGTGATTTAACTCAGTTAACTGAATACTTATCAAGCATGCTAAGCTGTTGTTACAAATATTAATTATTGAATCCCTTCTTACGAAAATCATTGTTACATTTATCTATTAATGGATGTAATTAAAGATACAGAAAACTGAAACAGGGCACAGTAGCAGAATTGCAAGTACATGGTCAGAATAAGAGTTTGTTTTCTCCACAATGTATGATCACCTCCACCCATGCACTTTAAGAATTCTAAGAGAAAGACACTTGTAGATTTTGCTGACCCTGTGACACAATCATATATCCCCCAACCTTCAGGTTTGGCTACCCCTTACATCCTGGTTCTTCAACAGGGGATCCGTGACCCCTTGTAGTTTTTTTTTCCTTTTCAAAAATTTAAATATGCCTAAAAATACACATTAACATGATCCAACGTGGTTTGCTTTTGAAACAACGTATCCTTGTGAAACTGAAGTTTCCTTTCTAACCTGCCTGGAAAGCATACACAGGGTCATGTCCAATCTCAAAACTTTGTGCAGCATATTGCTATGGTTTTAAGGTTGAAAGGTTGGCGGGTGTGTCAGAGGTGTTAGCCCATTAGCAGTGACATGTATATAAATAAATGTCTAGTAGATCTTTACTAACTGTTTTCACACTGTTTTAATTTCACAATTACTCTGGCAATGTAAATATGTTTCCCTGGCCAATAAAGCCCCTTCGAATCCAATTCATTGAAACCTCACTGTACTACAATCATTTTCATCCAATGAACATGTTTTGCTACATTTTGTTGGGGCTGAACGTGGCACAAGTCAAGACAAAAAAATCATTGGACTCTCTGCCCAACAACCCCCATTCACCCAATTCAATATGCAACTCAATTTATTACAATAGACCCTGCTCTGTCTCCCTTTTGGCTAGGACGTCCTTGATCTGAAAAACTTTGATGACCCCTCCCTTACAAAACATATGTGTCAACTGGCACCTACAATTGAATACTTTCTAGAGGAAGGGATAAAATCATGGAATGATACATTATTTCTCTCACACACAGAAACCACAGCAGTACCTTTTTTAAATGCCATTAATTCTCTCAGGGAATTGCTCATTCGTTCAGTGCAGGAAACATCTACCACTGGAATGTAGTTAAAAGCTAACACCGTTTTTTTTTAAGATCAAACATCCACTCATCAGTTGATGGTGGACAAGCTTACTTGAAACCAAAAGAATATTAAACAAATGCATAAGACAGAAGAAAGCATGGAGAGAGAGGATCATTCTCAACTGCTGTCTAGGTTAAGTTCACATGCATTTCTACTCACCATCCAGTATTGCCCACTGTCCATCTATCTCTGTGTGTTTGAGATATGAGTCTTCTATCGTGGGATCATAGTCTGGCACAAAGATCTTCTGGAAGAATTGGATGGTGAGGGCACTCTTCCCAACACCACCATCCCCCACCACCACCAGCTTGTACGTTGGCAGGTTGTCACTTGGCAAGGCACTGGTCGCCATGGCTACCTCGACAGTGGTGGTAAAGGTGGCAAAGGTGAGAAGTAAGCTGAGGAGACACACCTGGCTGAAACGGAGGACCGTGAGAGACAGAGACAGAAAAAGAGTGAGGAGGGAACAACAGATGGAGAGAGAGAGAACAAGGTGGAGAGGTGTAAAGGTTTTTTGTTGCAGCTGCTTTTCCATCACCATGGAGACCACGGACCACAGCTAGGAAACATGGAAAAATAGTATAAAAACAGGGAAACTTGAGCATTTATGCAAGATGGGCAGAAATCAAACCAGAGAGCCATGTGGAGTTCTGACACAACATGTTGCAACACAAAGCCTGACTGTACCTGACTTATAATTAAAGCCATGGTATGCAGTTTTCTGAAAAGGGCATAAAACGGAAACATAGACCATCCTGCATCATTCCCTTCTCTGTCCTGAGCCTATTCCACCAGACAACCACAGGAATATGCACGTCTCATGCAGTAACCCACTGTTTCCCATACATTGATTCATTTTTTTTTATTTCATTGTAGAGCTTTCTCTCTCTCTCTCTGTTTATCAGACCAAAAAAGAGACAAGAATTAGGTAGCTACGACACCCAGCGGTCCCACCACTTTTCTCCCCACCACTGTAGATTGCTTCGCCAGGGGCAGGGTGAGCAGCAGCTCCGGGGACAGACCTTAAGTCAGCGGTTGTAGCTGCTCAAATTCAACAGTCAGGGCAGGCTGGTAGCCAGCAACAGCGCCGTGTGTAACCTGTTGCCCACTCTCTTCCTGGTGAGGTGGTGTGTAGTGGTGGGGAGTGAGGTGGAGAACTCACTTTGTTTATAGGCTCTAGCTAACATTAGCTACATAAATGTGAACTTGAATTAGCCGCAGCCGTGAGCCTTTGGCTCTGGTTAGCAAAAGGCTAATCTATTAGCAACAGTGTCTTTCCATCTATGAAACACTTTCCGATATAAACATTTTATTGCGTTTATTGTCAGACTCTCTTTTAGACTCTCCAATTCATAAGTCCTGTTTCCTTTTTTTTGGGTTGCTTTGCAGTGTAGGCAATTGTTGCCAATGCTGGAATACTAATGTTCTCTGCTGGACTCTCCACCGTTCAATCAGGCTTTCATCAAAGGGATGTGCATGCGCTTTTACATTTGTAGAATACCCAATAGGAACTCTTTTTTGAAATGACCTGTAATTGGCTAAAGTTTCCCATCACGGCATAGATTCACTAAAGTCTGAAAACAGAGCCAAGAGGAGGTGAAGAAGTTTAGTTTTCTCTTAGATCACTTGAATGACAATATGCTCAAAGTTCATTATGGGATTTTTGCCCAATGATGCCAAAATAAAAACTACCTATCCCAGCTTTAAATGACTTGTTTAACTTATATCATCATAAATGTTTATTTGTGTGGTGGATGTTGGCCTGAGGGGTATTGGGAAAAGAACCTATCATGAGACAGAGGCCATAGTTTTCTTTTTCAGTACACACAGAACTTATTTCATCAGTGAGCGTAAGTCAAGCCTTAGCCCAGCCACTGTGAGCTGAGCTGTGAACATATGTATTTTTACTGGGGCCCTCAAAGCACTGATAACCACACTGACCTACAATATCATGACCTCACTTGCTCACACACAAGGATGATGCCAATGGTTTATCACCATTGATCTACAGGTGGCAGTAACTCATCAAGATATACTGCAATGCACCTTCAAAGACAGGGAAGAAGAAGACTGCCAGCAAGTTTACATGGGTGTAAACCATGCTGGCTTTTAAATGAAAAAATCAGCTATGCATATGTTTTGTGAGGAGGTAAAGAGCTCAAGGATACATACCATGTGTTTGATGTGTAACACTGAATTTCCACAGGGTTCCTTTCAGATACTGTTAATGCAAAGCCATCATGTCCTGCAGCTGCTGCTTCATAAGAAGCCACAAATGATTTTAATTGGGAAGCCGCTGCAGCCACATTTGTTATCAAGATTACACCTTACTGCTATTGTGGACAGCATCGACAGCTTTTTGTAAGCTGGCATGTTTCAAATATAAGGAAGAGTTGTAAATGAAGCAGCAGCCACAATAAAACAGGTTGGATGACTGATAGTAGGCAACAGGCTTTATATAAAACCACTGGGTCTAATCAAAGCCACTCACAGCACTGAATCAAAACTGTGTTGACAAGCAGGTAAACAAGGCCTTGGTGAGCCCGGCTTAGCTTTGCAGCAGAGACCAGGCTAATGATGTCTACTCTCTGTAGTTCAGTATAACCACAGAACCAGCAGAGAAATATGGTAGTTTGTAATTATGGTTTTTTGAAAACAAAAATAAACATCCATCTTGCTAGAATATGAAACGTTTAACAGAATAGTAAAGCATTTTTCCACACCAGTACAGTAGAGACTCAATATAAGAAAAGCTATTTTAACATTTGCAAATGATTCACATGCATTCTGTGCTTACACCTCAGGGGAACAGCTTGTACAGTACTCAACAAACCTGTTATTTTTCTTTTTTAAATCAGACTGCCCTTTTGAGAGTCTTACATTAGTGCAGTAATGGTCTATGGTTCAAATTACTATGGGCAATGATATGGGAGCTTTAATATTTGTGTATGGATGCAATCTCATGCTCTTATAGCAAAAGCTCACACAAAGCTTACCACAAAGAGGGAGAGCTACAGAAAGAACGAGACATGGGAGGGACTCAAGAGAACAGAGCGAAGAGGAGGGTGAGAGACACAGAAGCGTGAGGGAGAAGAAGCAAGGGTAAACGAGGACAGATTTGATAGAAATGTTACAATATGGTGTTGAGTCTACACAACAGACACCAGTATTTTACCGTGTGCGCCCCATTTTTGGACAGTTTTTTTAATTGTCATCTCTCCTTATACATTCAAATGTTTAAAATAATAATTTCAAGTGTAGGCAAATGATCAGAATCATTCAACACCAAGCACTTTTTATGATTTTGTATATTTACTTTCTTGCTCAAACAAGTCGCATCGCTCAATTCGCAATTGTAATGCAAAATCTAGGTTGAAGTCAGATTGTCAGTCAAATTAAGCTAACTTAGAGGTATCCTGGGTCCCCATTTTGTGCTGGCGGTTTCACACTATTCTGCTGATCGTCAGTTGATAACACACATAGAAGTAACCAATGCAGCAACAAAGGTTAAGAAGCTAATCTAGCAAACACGGATGTATTCATGATATCAAAAGAACTGATTAGTTTGATGTACTTTTGTAAGACCTCGAGGAAGCATCCTGTGTTTTGGTGGAAAACACTGAATGTACATGTGACTTACAAGAAAACAAGAAAGGAACCTTTAAAATACAGATACCTTTAGATATTCAAATATAAAGAAAAGACTGAAGTTTTTGCAAGTCTCTGCAAATGCATCTCTATATGATACTGATTTAATATTAAAAGAGCTGCTGCCTGAAAGGTGGGAAATACAAATATCCTGTGTCTCCTCTGTTGTTTCTATTGAAAATAGTGGGTTGTGTTTGTTTTAACTACGAAAAGTTGTGGCAAAACCAAGGCAAAATCCCGTAACTACATGTACAATTCTCTGGCTTTGTTTCTTTGTGCTTAGAATTCTTTGTTTACCCACAATAAAGTTGATGTGTGAGACCACAGCCGGTTTCATCGAAAGTAGGTTAGAAAAACGATGGACAACACTAAAATGACAGCGCCGCTCTAAATAACAGCGCATTTCTAAAACTAATGAACATTTAAGTTTCACTTTTACTGCACCTGGCTTTCTGCTGTTCCATCTGTACCCAGAGTACATTTTGCATTCTGAGAGAAATAAAAAAAAAACTTCTTTTAAGGTTGTTTATCTCAGTTCTACACTACTGTGAGTTAGTGTATTTTGACTTTGTAGGGCAGTATAAATGTATGGTTTGCTTTAAATACATTTTGGGAGTATATGCACTTTGTAGTGAATCGGTTAAAACATACAACCATTTAAGTCAAGCCATCCACAGTGTTCACATAAATTTGAAATTAAACCAATCTACTCCATCTTACTGTGAAACCCTCAGATTTTTAGTACTTATTTAACTGCAGCAGCAGCTAAAGCAGACAAAAAAGAACATTCACTCACTACTAGTACAACACCAACACCAACACCACCACCCACCCACCCACGCACCCATTCCTCCTTCATCCACCAGGAAACAGCTGTCAGCTGGCTTCAGTCCATCCTTTCCTGCCCAGCACAATGGAGGGAAGGAAGATGTTTCCTTCCTTTCCATAGCCAGCCAGTCTGCAACAGTCAACCAGCCAGGTTGGGCAAGGAATTTCCGAGCCAAATTCCTGATGTTAAATGTCTCATCAGTCAGTTGGTTGGCTGGCTGTCATAAAACCACAAATGCCACTACTCACAAGACATCACGTTACACAGATTTTCAGTACTGTGCAGAAAAACAAGAACACAACACCTTGAGAAGCACCGTGAAACACACCTGCCACCAGTTGTGGTTTCCACACCATGCGTGGTGTAGCCTAACTAAAGCCAGGTCAGGTCACAACCTCGAATGGTGTGTCAGCATTTCCCTCTGTGAGTCTACTTGGTGGAGTATACAGCTCTCTGAACCACCACTCACTGTTCTGTGAGACTAAAATAATCCACAGACACCAGTTTAAACCAAATTACTTTGGGAATGGAAGCGTGGCAGAGGAAATTTTATTATGAGCCCAACCAAAGTTAGTCATCTGACCAATGTGGCTGGCTATATGTAGATTTACAAACCAGGATGTTTCAGAGGGCCAACCGAGGCTGCATGGGGACATACTTAAAGTATTGTGCACAACACTTGCAGTGTTCACACTAATGTCAGTGACTCTGAATCCTTTCCTCTCAGATTTAGCCTTTCATCCACACTAACCTGGCATTTTCCAGCCCTAAAAATGAGCTTTAAAAAAACCCTTTAGAGGACATTTATCTCTGAATAAATCTGAAAACAAGAGAGAAATGAAGCTCAGCCAACACAGTTATGTATAGTCCTCAACCTTCACTGGCGTGATCAAGTACCTCTATGAAATAGCAACGTTAGTAAGACGTAATTGGATGTTT